GAACAGTTTCACTTCGTATTCAGCAAATTGTGTTGTATCAGAACGACGATTGCATTGTGTGATTTGAAATTATCACGATTTTCCTTCCAGTCAATATGAAACTCGTCACCTTGCCGATTGTAATGTACTTCGCAAAGTTTTTGGTGCCCAATACTCGCAACACTAAAATAATTAAACAAGATATCTTTTTAAAATGTCATAAATACTCTTGATCATATTATTTTATTCGCCTTGAATTTCAAATCAATTACATATCGAACTTCTGTACATGTTTTTGTCTACTGCCCTTCTGCATGCAAATAATGAGGTCATACTTATGTCACAATAAGTTGAAGCTGATGCCATGTTGATGCCATGAGACTGCGAAGCTGAGGCCACGATGATGCCACAAAATAGCGAGGCGAACACAGCTTCAATTTTCAATGACGCGAAGCTGATGCCACAATGATGCGATGCTGAGGCGACAATGAAGCCATGCGTAGGCGACAATGATGCCACAAAAGCCAAAGCTTCTGCGAGAACTGTACTGTAGCTGGCTGTATGGACTGTGTAGCAGCCTTGATGGGCCATGTAGCTGGCTGTATGGACTGTGTAGCAGCCTTGATGGGCCATGTAGCTGGCTGTATGGACTGTGTAGCAGCCTTGATGGGCCATGTAGCTGGCTGTATGGGCTGTGTAGCAGCCTTGATGGGCCATGTAGCTGGCTGTATGGGCTGTGTAGCGGCCTTGATGGGCCATGTAGCTGGCTGTATAGACTGTGTAGCAGCCTTGATGGGCCATGTAGCTGGCTGTATGGGCTGTGTAGCAGCCTTGATGGGCCATGTAGCTGGCTGTATAGACTGTGTAGCAGCCTTGATGGGCCATGTAGCTGGCTGTATGGACTGTGTAGCAGCCTTGATGGGCCATGTAGCTGGCTGTATAGACTGTGTAGCAGTCTTGATGGGCCATGTAGCTGGCTGTATAGACTGTGTAGCAGCCTTGATGGGCCATGTAGCTGGCTGTATGGGCTGTGTAGCAGCCTTGATGGGCCATG